TCAGTTTCTCTTTCTAAAGCATATTACTTGTGTTTCCAGTGAATCCTTTTATGAGGCCAAGTTTGAATTAAATAAAATGACTGAGAGTATTTTTTATAGTATGTGTAACCACTTCCCTTTGTGGCTAATACTTTAAACAAAGACTATATTACAAATAGAAATATGTCATTGTGTTGTTAGACTGAAGACACACTAGAGCAAAGTGCCTTTACTGCAGGACAGTTGTTGACCAAAATCAATTATAATGACTATATTGATTTTTAGCTAACTGCCTATGAAATTTCAAAAGATTACAACTTTAATTGATATTGAATTGCGTTGAGTTGATTGATTTCCACATCTGGTTTAAGTAGGTACTTACTCAGTGCTCAAATCTCTAGTGGTGTTCAGAGCTGGCAGTGGGAGAAGGAGAGCAGAAGAGATTGTATAATGTTACCAGGCAGGACTGAAATGGAAAAGGGGGAATGGAAAGGGAAGATGATGTCTCTGCTATGTGCATGTTCAGGGTAGAAAATAGATGTGATGATAGAACAGAAATGTGTATACAGCTTGGAGGCAGGTGCCCTGATAATAGGGAAAGGAGGAGAATAAAGAAAGATTAGCTTTAGATGGGGCTGAGTTGGGGTGGGGATAGGGATTGCTGCCTCTGTAAGGATTAGCAGTGTGGCTCCATCCAATTTGACCCATTCACTCCTTGGGATAATCTTTGAATTTATTGTTAAAGCCATGACAACCAATTGTGGGGTTTTGGAGGGGAGTTTATTTAGTGTAGCCCCAGCTATTTGCATTCTGAAGTGTTGAAGCATCTCTTCACTGCCTTTGCTCATATTCTTTCTCCCATATTCATCTGGACATGAGAAATTCCATGTGCCAGTGTCACTTCCAGTCAGGGGAGTATTTTCAAGGTCTGTAATTCTGATTCTTGCCTTTTATGACTATTTCAAAAGGACTTGACTCGTTAGTGCCATCTGTGGGACAGCAAGAATATGGGTCTGCCTTGTTTGTTGTTACCCTGCTGTGCTGCAATTGCCTTGTTTCCCAGCTTTGAGTGGGTATGGAGTGGGTATATGGTTGGCATTTCAGTACAGCCACGCTGTCCAAATGAATCCTAAATCTTTTTCCAAGGAGAATTTAAATCCTTCCTACATTGATTTCTTTTTAGAACTTATGTGGGTGACTAAATCATAATCAACTAATGACAATGTGAAGAGTGAAACCAAACCGTGTGGTGTTATTGAAAAGGCATTACTGGATCAGAACTCCAGGGCATGTAAGGTATTTGCTGAGTTGTTGTGAGTCTGATTTATTGATTTGTTTTCTTCCTTATGTTCTGCTGATTCCATAATTCTCTTCAATAGATGAATATAAAGAATGTATTTCTGCCATTAAGAATCAGGTGCTTGATGTACTGCATCAGACTATCAAAGCAGATATTTTGATCCCAGTAGTATGAGATACCTGCTGCTTTAGAGGAAGGCTGTGCTCATCCATGTAAGTTTTCTTCTGACCTCTATGCAATTATTGTATTCTCTGAAGCATGCAGTATAAGCATCAATACTGTTAATAGCCATAAATAATTCCTCTTTCTAAAAATTTCTATCTGATCCATGTTGTTGACTTGCAGATGAAGTTGCTAAGTATCTCCCTAATGAAATTAACTATTACAGTCACAACTGGAAACTAAGGAAATGGAAAGCTAAGACAGCATGAAGAATTAACAACCATAGCAATTGACTGAGACATGGTGCTGCATAAAATAAATAAAAAAAAAAACTACACCAAAAAAAAAACCCCACAACGCATTATCCCATGAATGATCATGAAAGCTTTAACTCTTGACTAAAATAAATAGTTGCTAGGTGAACTGTACAAATACCACTGAAGGGTATGTGGAAGTACAAAGTAACGTACTTAGGATTATTTCAAAGCAAGATGTTTGATGTGTTTTGTCAAGTCTGTCAATATAAATGGTAGTTTTCCAGGTAAATAAAACTGATTTCTTTTTAGGCGGATGGGTAAAGTAGCAAAAAGGGTACATGTAACTATATGCAAGTGAGGAAAACTGGAAAGTGATAGGACTTTCATGCTTAAGTTGGAGAGTGCTAAGGTACTTCAGTGTGGAGATGACTTAGGTGCTTATTGACGTATGGATTTCGGTATTATTAGACTAATTGGTTTGGTTAGTAGCCAAGATGTTGCCTAAGAAACATTATAGTGCTGTTGGTAAAAGCAAATTTTTGGGATATTTGTTCTTCTAATAACATAGATTGTAACATGAATGTGGACAGTCTAAACCAGATTACAGTTTGGTCATAGTTGTAAAATGTGGCCTGGGATGGGGCAGAGAAGTTTTCAACTAAATTTTTGCAGGCCTCTGCAATAGAGACTCAAACATGACCAGGCAGCTTTCTTATTGTGTGTGTATAAAATGGGGTCCTCCAGGTCCTGGGGGTGATGGGAGTGTGGGGAAGGGGATGGGGTTTTTTGGTGCCTCTGTATCTGTGAGAGGTGCTGTGCTGCCAGAAGGGCTGGTACCAAACCCTGACGATCTTGGCTGCATGGTGGACAGGGGTTGTTGCTATATTCACTGGAGTGATAATGCCTGTCTGTGAGAGCTCAGACTACAGTGTGCAAGCTTAGAGAATAAACCTGGATACATCAAAGCCTGATCTTAAGTGACTTCTTTATTATGATTTTTTTTTCTAATTCTTTTGGCTATGTAAAAATAACTAGAAGTGAGAACTGCTGGGTTACTTAAGAGTATCCAGGGGTTGCTGGTACACTTTGCTAATGTAGGACTAATGCTGTATAGGAGCTCAGGTTAAATACAGCCAGGTATTTTAGCCAAAAATAAGGGAAGTATAATTCCAAAAAAGCTCTGAAGCTGCAGCAACACTTCTTAGAATATTTCAACTTTTAAATTACATTTTTAGGTGACCCTAATAACAAAATAAAAACTTGATTTCTTATAATGGGATAGTTATAAGTTGAAAGCTAATTTCTCTTGATTGAGGTACAATACAAACCAGTTATTCACGGTTCTGTTGAGAGTACCAGTATTTACCTTAGCAGTTTAGAGAAGTGGAAAAAAAGTTCCATTCTGCCTATCAGACAGGGCTTTCACAGAGTCTGAAATTTAAGACTAACAGAGTGATGTCATCTTCTGCCTATAAAACTGGAAAATTGTCAGGGGTCAGACTGAGTGCCTACGGGATGGTTACAGGAGAGGTGAGTGGATCCTTAAGCCAGAGTGAAAGGAGAAAGTATATGAAACTGTGCAAGTGGAGATGGTGTCACTGAGACTTTTTTATGATGGGAGGATGTGGTACTGCTCAGATCTGCCCTCTGCTGACAGAAGTGTTTAGTGTGTAGACGTGCTGGTATGTATTTCTTTATAAAGCAAAACATGATGGCCTGACTGCCAGGTCACGAGGAAGGTCAAAGTAGATTTTATCACAGACACTAATGGAATTTCCCTTCACTGGATTACACTGAGGAGGCTCTGCAAAGATCTGACCTAACTCTGTTATCTGACTCTCTTTATTTTGCAGTTTGTTTGATGGAAGAGAAGAGAAAGGATCAAGTTTGATGTTGCAATTGTGATTATTTTCAATTATTTTTTCTTATTGTTTTTTATTTTCCAAACATCACAACATCCAAATTAATTTCCTTTCTTTAGTATATGTTTTCAGTTTCATCACTGTGTGATAAGGCACCGGGAGCAGAAAACAGAATTGAGTGGCAACACCAAGGCCACGTTGTAGTTGTCTGAACCCAAAAGAGGCAAAGCTAGACAGTGCTCTGAGAGACAGAGTGTTACCCTTTGTTGTGACAATCTGGATCAGCTGTAGCATATCAGGGATATGCGAAATAGAATCTTGACTGGTTTTTAGCTGCCTGGTTTTGTTTTGGTTTTGTTTTTTACAGTGTTAATGTAAGACATCAGTGATGTAGATTTACTGGTACTGGCTTCTAAACTAATGCCTTGTTCCAAGTGGGCCATTATAAATTGTGCTTTAAGTTAACTGAATGTAGAAAATGGGAAGGAGCAGGATCATGTTAGCACTAATGAAGGAAAATGGTATGAAATATTAAATAACTGTTATTATAAGATACTTCATAAATCCAAAGGAAGTAGAGGTGAAAAGACCTATAAGGTCACCTAACCTATCCATTCTAGAGAACTGGCTTGCTGCCTGCAGTATATAATTATCTACCGCTCCAGACTAGTTCTAAATGCCCAAAACTTTAGTACTCTTACTGCAGGTATGTGGAAAGAGAAAAGAAAGGGTGATATATTTCTTTTCAATTTCTGAAACCTTTAGTCAGATTTACATGTTGAATTTTTTTTTCCTTTATTTCATCTTTTGTTTTAATTTTGTTTTTCTGCTTTGATGTCAGAAAGCCCTGAAGAGTGAGATGACTTTAATCATTCCAGATAGCTATGCTATCTATATGTCTTTTGTCTTTGTCACTTTGATTGACAGTTCTCTTTTTAAATCTCTCTCAGTTTTTAATCATTTTTCTTATGGCAGCTGGGTTTACTGGCTAATCACCCCACAGTGGTAGTGTGTGGAGTAAGAATATTTTCTTATACTCTCTTCTTTTTTTAACTCTTCTGTCCCCCTGCACCACACTTTTTGCACATCCTCATTGGGTAAATACGCCTTTAGGAGAGAGCAATATCATTATTATAGAGCTGGAAGTCAGTAATGATTTTACCACAAAGAAAGGTAGTATGAGGAGTGGAGCCTTAGTGGAGTTACTGTGTCGCTTTAGAAGGTTGCTGGACTGAGCAGTACCAAAAAGATGGTTTGTCTTTTGTTTGACTGTCGTGAACTTGAATGTACACCCTGAAAAACAAGTACCTGCTCAAAGAGGGAGCATACATGTAATGCACTGTCCATGCCTGAGAAGAAAGGGTAGAACAGTTATTTAGCCTCTCTGAGTGTTCTTATCCTTATTTCTTTGTTTCATGTACTCTGTAATTGCCTTTTCAGCCCGGTCAAGGAGTTTGGTGATGGGTGAACAGATTGGGCCTCCCTCCAGACCTTCTTCTCCAAACCCTCAAGAACGTGTGCTGAAGTGTGGCTGGCTAAAGAAACAAAGGAGCATTATGAAGAACTGGCAGCAGCGGTGGTTTGTGCTGCGTGGGGATCAGCTCTTCTATTATAAGGATGAAGAGGAAACTAAACCTCAGGTATGACTTACTGGTTGTGATTTCCGTGTAGATCAGAGTTACTGCTTTGATTGACAGCTCATTTCAGTTGCTTTCTGTCCTTGCCAAAACCATACACACTTGAAAAGGTTCAAAGGCAAGAGGCATGGTAGGGAGACTTCTATCAGGCAAGTCGTAGAGCTTGGGGAAAGGTTGGAAGGTGTTTACTTACCCACTAGGGCATGCTGACCTCCAAATCTTAGTATGGTCATCTGTGAGACTGGAGTTTGACAGGAAGAGCTATGGAGTTCCAGATTACTGAGGCAGGAGTGATTAACCTTGCTTAGTCAGCTGGGAGTCATTATCTCCCAACTAATCCATTGTTCACTGAGAGGTGAACCAGCTGTGTAGGGCTGGTTTGTGTGTGTAGTGTGTGCAGGTTTTGTTACATGCTGGCATGCAGGGCTTGAGAATATAATATGTTTTAGTATTGTGGGGGCAGGAGAGGGTGTTGTGCTATGGGATAAAGCTTATAGAAGAGATAAAGAATTACTTATTCATCTTCTTCAAATGCCTGTAAAACACTCTTGCATCTTTTGAGCTAAGGTCTTCCCTAGTTGTTGTTGTAGATTTTGTATCATAATTCATGTAGTTATTGTTTTGACTGTCAGGCCTTTAGCCAGAGTCATTGAACAGAGGGAACATAATTGAATAAGCCAGACAATGTCCCTGTACTGCTGCCTCCTGATGAGCCAGTACAGGCATTACAGAGTGGCAGTCAGCCTGTGTAATATCATCACCATCCACATGCTCATTATAGATGATTATTGAACTGCTTGATGCAGCTGTGTGCTTGACTGTCACATAAATTTCATTGTAGAGTGAGAATGGAAATGAATATTCCCCTGTGGGTCTGACATAAGTATGGTAGATGAATGAGGATGTTGGCTGCATCTTAGATCTTGCACTTTCCTAATCAGGGATTTGGTCCATCATTATGGGCAGCCTGCTGTGTAAAGGCTACAGAGACCTGGACTTGATGATGTAACCTGGTTACTCAGGATGCTGCAAGCAACAACTGGATACTGTGTTTTTAAGCCAAGTGTCTTATACTCATATGCAATGGATATGGAGAACTGGGCACTTCTGAACTGTGTTAGTGAAGATGATGAGGAAGAAACTGCCTCAGTAGTCATGTTGGAAAGGGTTTCTTTAACCCTGGTCCTTTTAGGGCACAGGTTTGCCATACATTTATCACCATGGGAAGCAGTTTTCACAGAATCACAGAACATTATTTTGTATAGGATCATAAAGGACTGTGTCCTATTTTTTTTAGGAATTGCAAACTAGGATTTGCATCCAACTTCGGCTAGGACTGTATGCATTCCAGAGGTGACATGTATTTTTGGAACTTGTTGATAGCTATTGCTTGGGATTTTCTGGAATGAAAAGGCAATGGCACACGGATGCCTACAAAGCTTAGGAAGTCAATTGAGACCCTGGGAGATCTTTTTTAAAGGTCATGGATGTATTTTCATCAGTTGGTATTAATCCCTAATTTCTTTTGGTCTGAAAGGTACTCATGCTTAATTTAAGTCTTTTTGTTTAAGTGTAGTCTGCAAACTTGTGTGCAAAAACTAAATCAATAGCTGCACCCAAATTCCCATTGGTCTTCTGCCTAGTTGATTATTTACACATACTTTGGAAGAAAGTTGTATTCTTATTGTTTAGCTGATAAAGTCAAGTGAGATTTCTGACATAATGTTTCAAAAGAGAGACATGAAATAACATCTTTTTGTTTATGGATGTTGAATTGTCTATTTTTACGAAAATCAGATTTTGAGAGGAAATTGCAGATTCCCTTGATAATAGTACTAAAAAGATGGAGCTGTAATCGTAATGGCAGGAGAATCACGCAGGCTTTCTGGAGTGAAGAGGAATTACTCTGTGGTCTTAATGGATCGAGCACTGTTGAAGGTGTGTGCATTTGTGTGCCTTATGACTTAGTTGCAGTTGCACAGCCCATTTAGAGTCCAATGTTTAGAGGGTAGACTTGCAGCCATTGCTTTTCTTGAGTGTTTTCTCATGTTACCCCCATGAGGAAAGGGGGAAGGGAGGACTAACCTGCAAAGAGCTTCTGATGCTCCTACTGACTGTCAATATGTTGGTCAGTTTTTAAAGTAGCTTTGGGTTCGTTTCTATTCCCAGGATAGCAGACAGCATTCACTCCTCCCATTCTGTTTCCAGGGGAACAGAAACCACTGTGCAACTAATTCATTAACCTTTCTTTCAGTATTGACTTGGCATGATAAAAGGTTTTAGTGCATCTGCAGTGGGATTGAATTTTGCCCTCTGGAAAACAGCAGAATTTTCTAGAATGTGTTCTGGCTACTGGACTCTAAAGATAATGTTGTATATTATACTTTTTTGTTCCATTTGGAATAATTTGAGATACACCTGCATTTTTGTCATGTTGCCTTTACATGACATGACTTCTGTTATCCTTGGAGTGCCTTCAGCATGTCTTCAGATTTCAGTGAACCTCAAAGTCAAATTGTAGGCCAATAGGATTGGCAGGGAAGGGTGCTGAAAGTTCATCCTGTTTTGTTGACTTATTTTACCATAATTTTAAAACTCTCAACCACTCTAGATAAACCTCTCAGTATGGACTTTGCTAAGTGCCCTCCTACATTGTGTCCTTCCACAATCTTACCTTTACACTAAGTAGGGGACAGGAACCGAGCCTTGACACTGTTCTACAGCACTACCTAGAGAGCCTACTAGGGTTGATTGTGTTCTAGTCAGTGAGTGGAGATGGCAACGATGTGATCTCCACATAACACTTGATACGGGACACACAAGAGATGGAGTGAGATCTGCAGGGCAGCTGCATCTGTAATATGAATTGGGGGGTGATAAAGCACAAACTTGGTGAATATTTTTATTCATTATACTGAATACCTGGAAGAATACACATTGAGAATGGTAATGAGAGTTAAGTAGCTATGACTATACCTAGTAATAGCAGGACAGCTTTACATTTCTCCTTCTCCAAGGGTTCTGCGTGAACTTGCACATCTCTGTCCTCCCAGACTACCCACAAGTTTTCTGAGCATTTCTTGTCAGTAAAATCCACCTGGTAGCTGTCTGTTTTTTCATTCTAACCTAGCGTGTACTTTGCAAGGTGAAGGAGCAAAGCTTGTTTGAAACAGGCTGGAATTTCATCATCATTCAACTCATTGTGGAGATTATCTGCTAATGAAGAAAATTTTGGGTTTGGTTTTTTTTTTTCCTCTTGCAGAAACAGACATCCAACACCTGGAAAATATTTGAAATAACCAGATTTCATTGTTCTGTTTACTCTATTAGCAGGCTGGACTGTTGCTGTTATTTACTCAGACCTGTAGGTGCTCCTGTAAGCCTCAGGTCAGTATGGTTTGTAGGTACAGCTTGACTGAAAAAATACATAAACCTCTTATAGCCCTGATTTAGAGGTTTTGAACATGCATTAAGCTTTGAAAGTCTTCTGTTTGTTTCCCAGTACTGACTCTAGAAGTTTTTAAGGGCTGTTATTATCAAAATGTTTTCCCCAAACAACACCTAGTTCTGGTGATGTTAATGCAGCAATGTCTGCTGGCAGCCTGAGTCAGCAAGTTGTCCTTCTTTGTCTGTTATTGACAAAACCATTATTGAGTGTCCAGGTGATGAACAAGAGAGGTAGGAGAGGTCTTTTAAAAGTTCGTACCTGACTACATCTGGGAACATTCTTCACAAACACCTAGGAAAGCTTCCCTTGTCACATTTCCTGGTCTGAGACAAAAGGATCTGAGAAAATAGTTGACTTATCACTTGAAATGTGGGATCTATCCTTTAGCCTGCTTTAAGTCTGAGGCAATTTGGCTTCCATCTCTTTTACTGAGACTATGGCTAAGTCTGGTCCCGGGTTAGCTTGGACTATACGATCCTTAGAATTAAGGGTTGGAGATTATTCACTGGTATAAAGCTGTTGCAGAAATTCTGTTCTGTGTTTAGTTAAAATAAAGATATTCCTCTATTCAGTTCAGGCCTGGGATTCAAAAACTCGTACCTGAGGGCAGATTTGAGTCTCATTATTCCCCCCCTACAGTCTTTTAAGGATTTGTAACAGTGACTGAAGTGCTGTTTTAAAAGGTAAAGGTATAAGAATTAGGATGATCAGTGTTTTGACATCAACTGTATTTGTTGAGGGACTCAGTCAAGTAAAAGAAGCTTTTCAGTCATGTTTCCTGTGTCACCAACTTTCTTTACCAAATCCTGGCTCTAAAGAGCCTGGTACAGACAGGATTTCTCAGTTAATATTGTCAGGGAGAACTATAGTAATACCATTAATATATGAACACTTGTCCTATTTAAGATTCTCCCTCAAAGCACTAAGGCCCCCAAAAGGTATAAGATGATGCAATCATCAAAAATGGGTTTTGAGCCTCCAGCTTAGTGGAAGGTCTGCAACCTATTGCCTGCCCCTTGAGCTGTTCAACCATCTCAGGCTCCCAAAGCCTGAGGGAGGGAGGAATAACTCAGTCATGAGTTGATGTTTATTTCTGGGGCATGCTTTGGCATATATCAAGTTAGACTTTGGGGAATTTAAACTGATTTAATCCATCATTAATTTACTTCCCAACAAGATTACTAATGCAGTCTGAGTGGCTGCTGGACAAGGACACATGAATCTGTTTGAATTTAGTCACGTCTTTCTACCAGTGACAGCAACTGTCAGAATTGATACACCCTCCCTGTTAAGATAAATTACTTCTTTCTACCTTTTCATCTCTGTTTGTTTGGAGTTCCCCATAGCTTGCCAGACAGATTGGACAGCTGTGAGCTAGGCACTCTGTTACCCTCTGGACATGATTTTTGCCTCCTGAAAGAACTGGGTACAGAGAGAAAAAAATCAGCCCAGTTTGCTGGTGTGCAGAGGGAAATGTGCAACAAACTGATCTGAAAATCTTTGCTATATATACACGTATGACCTAAGAATACTTTCCAGACATGGGCCTATTTTGCAGGCTTTTCTTGTTTTTCATAGATGAAGTGAGCATCCAGCAATTTGAATTTCTGTAAAATCCTTCTTCTAGGTTTTTGACATATAAGACCTGCTGTTTTCTGTTTGTTATGCTACCAGCTCAGTTTGCTGCAATTTTGTTGCACAGCTGAATGAGGTGCATACTGGTAAGGACAAAGTAGCTTCGTGATGTACAATACAAATTTAATCGAAGGTGATTAAAATGAGACTAAGAGACAAATCACTTTAATGAAAACTTTTTAGAGAATTCAAATATCTTCTGAAAAGGATCAAAAAGAAAGTGTATTTTGATTGGGAAATGCTTTGGTTTAGGGTGTTTTTTCATGCAATTTATACCTCTGTAATCTCTTCTAAAGTAAACATCACCCTCATGTGTCAAAGGTGTGTCTCACTGAAGAGGGGGCACAAGGTGATGTTGTACCATATGGTGCAAGTCCATTTGCTTAGTTTTGTTGCAGGAGAATGATGACTGAGTTAAGCAAAGTACAACCTTCAGAAAGCATTACAGAGTGAGAATTTGGTTTAACCCTTTGACTTTATCACTGACTTCAGTTTCCTGCAGGAAGATGGGTTTTCTGAAACTCTTTAGTTTGACAGCACTCTTCTATGAACTGCTCCTGCTCTTCACTGTAAATACACTCTCCTCCTCTATATACTGGTATGCATCTTCACCCTTCTGTAGTATAAACCAGCAAAAAGCTAGCAAGTGTATCGTTGGGTTTTACCTAAACTATGTGTGACCCAGAAATACATGTTTTCCTGGTTTGCTAATTTAGGCTGAGGGAAAGAACCCTCCACAAAAGTGTGCCTTTTTTGGAAGTAACACAGGGTTTGATTCAGAGTCCTGAGTTCTGCTTGATTCTAAGTGTGAGGTTTAGGTAACTGTTTCAAATGGGAATTTATGCTTGCTTTATACTATTCGATAAAGAAGACCCAGCTTTTATTTTTTTGAGGCATTGTGTGCACTTGTTTTGAGATGGGTTAGTTTTGCTTAGAGGGCTTCTTAAGAGAGGACTGTACCTTAAAATAAGAGATAGAGTTGAGTTACTGGGTCTTTAAGAGATTTTCTTTCTACAAAATGTAAATTTTTCCTCCAAAGAAAGCAGCTGTTAACATTTAAGAGAATTACATCTTATGACAGAAAACTATTACCAGCTTTCAAATGATAACTGAAGCTCTGAAAATCTGATTAACTGGAATCAACTGACATGATGTTAGTTTTTATTGCCATATTTTCAGCTTCTATTAATAAAATAGTGACCTGAAAGTGTAAACTTACAACTGAGAATGCATAAAAATGGAGTTTAAGTTAAATCAACAAAATTACTTGAAATTTGGTGGGGTTTTTGTTTCCTTGTTTCCTTTTTTTTTTTCTCCAGCTAGTTTTGTGATTTTTTTTTTTCCTCCAGGATTCTTTCTTGTGTTTTCTCAGCATTCTTGTCTTAGGCTATTCTGCAATACTTTGTGGTTTCAATTGTGCAACTAAGATTTCTAAATTTTTCTTCTGCTTGTACTACCATTTCCCTAGGCATGTTCCATATATTCCTAAAAGTAGGAATTGTCTGGAATGCTGTATTCAGCATTAAAACCTTAGGTCCTTATTCTTCATCAAGAAGCTTTTAAAAAGACAAAACAAAGAATTGTGACCCTACCACCTCTCCACATGCCCTTACTCATGTGCTTCAGCCTCAGATTAACATAGGAACTACTTCTTTTGCTCCCCTCTCTTCATGGAACTTTGTTCTGTGGCATGGCAAGCAGATGCTTATATTTAAGTTTTGTTCATTTTACCCCTTCAGTATGGTGTCTCTAGGAGAATGCCATGTAGCTACTTTAGAACTTCTGCATTCAGTATGAAGAGGAGATGAGGAGGGAGCATGAACCTCTCAGTGTACATCCCAAAAAATCATTTTTGTTTCAAAGAACTACCTGAGAGAAACCAGACTAATAAAAGCAGTCAACCTGCTCAAGCCACAATTTGAGACTGCTGCTCAGTCAAAATATCCTAAGCACTGGGTAAAAGAAAGATTCAGGGTCTTGCCTTCAAAAATCATGCTGTAGTCAGTTGGTCACTGTTTGGTCTTTTTTTTCCTGGTTGACATAGTATTCCATTACATTATCTCTACTTTGTGTGGATCTCATGAGTTGCAGTACATAGGGCTTTAATTTGCCTGATACCCTTGAGGGATGGCTAAACATGGAAGCAGGTTGCTGAGTCAACAGTGTCATAGGAAGTGAGTTTTGTTTTGTAAAGAACCAATTTGAGTACTTTTGAGACATTTTCAGTTTGCAACAAATAGCTTCTATCAAAGCAGCAAGTCACTTTTAATAGGATGGCTTGTCAGAACTGGAATGCCAACTTGTAAATATACATGACTTGGAGCTTATTTCCTAGCTGAAGCATTCCATCTCAAGCATTACTGTTGTGGTAACTTATTTGTAGTAGTTTTTGGATGTTCTATGTTCAAAGAAAAGAGTAAAACTTAATTCCTTTACATTTAATACAAACTGGCTCCTTGGGCAATTATAGTAGTTTTCTGAACAAAGCATCTTGAGGAAAATGTATTCCCAAGGGCCAAAGTCATAGATGTTATACCATAATGGTTGCAATGAAAAGTAACTCATCTTTATTTTATGGAGAAGATTGCAAAGGTCCTATGATGAGTTGTCTTTTATTAGTTAAAATTCTGGATTGTTTGTCTCATGAGACACTAATTGTATAAGTCAGTTATATATGGATTTGTTTAGATTACCAATATTGCAATGGTCCAATGTGTCTAGGATTTGGTTGTTGCCAGATTGGTTGGTGAGAATGTAATTATGCATGTTTACTAGAGAGATGTGTGGAAAAAGAAAATTACCAAAACAACTTTTTTCATTTTCTGTTCAGTGAAAAAAGATGCTTTGGACCCAGTTTCTATTCCAGGTCAGTTCAGTGCAGGAGTAGGAACTGTTGATTACCTCATTCATGGCTTAACTCTTGTGAGTTCCAGTTCTTACTGCCTTTTGTCTGACTTACTGTGCATAATATGCCGAAGAATGTTAGCTGGAAACCCTTTAAAATGTCAAAGATTAAATGCTTGTTCCACTCATGTTTCTGGACAAGAGCTTCCTGTGATCTCCTTTTCAGCTTTTACATAGATGAAGAGGACTTTGTTCACTTTGAAGATACTATGTCACCATCTATGCAGGATCCCCAAACTGGAATACATTGTGTTAACTGTGCTTGGGCTCAAAGTGGAAATGAAGCTGAATATTGGCAACATTTGAATTTGGGAAGTAAAGGGACTCAGTTCTATTTTTAGGGAAACTATAGTCTTCTGGGATAAAAGGTAGTCCGTTGCTTTACAAACCTGAATTAGCTGCTATCCTCCAGTATCTCCCTGGGAACTTCTCTGTATTGAGGATCTCTGGGAAATGGTTCATTTTATTCAGTTGCAGAAATAAAGATACAGAAATACAACCTCAGCCATCTTGTTGGTGACTGAAGTTTCATGCTGCAACCTGAAATTAAAGGGTGAAGAAAGAGTAGATGTAATGTGAGATGAAACTTTTGCAAGGGATTATTAGTTATGGAAACCAAGAATAATCACCTCAACATGCTTGTTGTTATCCCAGAGGAAAGAGCATTTGACCAGAAATGTCCGGTGTGAGTGAAAGGACAAGAGAAACAAGTGCGTGACCAGCTCAATCTTTTCTTGCTCGTAACTGTGGAAAAAAGTTGGGCTCAGTGGATGAGCAGAGCTTAAATTTGCTATGTATAATATCATCTTTTCTTTACTCTTTTGGTGGCTTTTCCCTTTTCACCAATGTTTGTGTCCCTTACAGGGTTTGATACTACTGCAAGGCAATCAGGTGAATGAGCTGCCACCTAATCCTGATGAACCAGGAAAACATCTCTTTGAAATTACTCCAGGTATGGCAGCATTTCTTAGTGCTTTCAACATAACATCACTTTATTCCCATCAATTTTCATTAATGATAATTGAATTGTACTGGTCATTTCACTCCTAAGTGTTCTGATACAGTCGCCAGATAATCTGGTGAGGCTGGGAAATGGGATTTGACAGATTACATGGTGTTCTTTGTTTGGTATAAAAGTGCTGCTGTGGTACCTCATTTTCATTTCATGGTAGTTGAGATGCATAATGCTCCTTGATTTTTTTTCTTTATTTGGAGGGGGCTCCTTGCTTGCAGTGCTGTGTGGTCTCCCAAGCTGATTTATTTTTCTGGTTGTTTAGGGAGAAACTGACACAGAACACACCACAGAATTTATGGAAAAGGGGCATGCAGTATCTGAATTTAATTTCTTTCATGTATACTAGCTCTCATGTATACTAGTTTCAGAGGTTGGGAGAAGAAAAAAGTTTCAAAACCTTTCTCTTTTGGATGAAAAGTTTTAAGAGAATAGGTGACCTGCCAGGGAAGAGAGGTTGAAATTTTATTTGATAGAAAGTATAATGATCTGTTCAGAGTAGTATTAATGTAAAACTTTTGTAATTGTTTTAGTTCCCATATAAATACTTCCTTGGAACAGGGTTGGTACATCCAGTGTATGTTTAAAGTTAAGTTCTCTGCTGTAAGATAGGAGTTTCACTTTATTCAACTCTGATTGTATTTGGGAGAGGGCCATCCCTGTGCATAGATTTGAATGCACTTTTGGAGATAGTTTCAGGTGGCAGAATCTACAGAGAAAACAAACAACCTGTTGCACCACTAGCAATTTTAGGGCAGAGAAGTGAGAAAGATGAACTACCTTCATCCTTCCACAACTGTCTACCAATACCTGAAGACTGAGTTCCTGGAAACAAGAAGGGAGGCAAGTGCGACTGTGTTAAAAATTATGTGTGTGCACTGACTCAGTCATGACTCCATGGCCAGCTTCTCCTGCATGGACTACCTGTCCATGCTGCTTGGCGTTGTCTGGTCACCCACAGTGGGCGTGGTGTCAATAGGGTAGATAAAAGTAATTACATTAGACTGTCTCTCTTTTTAATAGAAGGAACAACACAGGGAACACTTGTCCCTATATTAGAATGCCACTGCTGTGAAGGCAGATGTGTTTTACTCATGTCCTTGGGGTTGCTTTTCTAGTGCCCAATTAGGCTGGTTTAAAATGCCTGCATTGCACACCCCTCTTCATACAGTATCAGGCAGAGCAAGAAGAACAAGCAGTGCCGTAAGGCTTTCAATTACATCAGCAGACACCATTACGCAATGATGTAGTCACAGAATTCCATTCGACACACAGGAAGCTATTTGGGAGAAGAGACTTTCTTTTTTTCTTCCTCCTAATCACTGCATGCTTTCTGTTAATGCCTTTTTTTTTTTCTTACACTGTACCATGTCCTCATAGGCAGCCCTCCACAAACAGCAGGGCATTGGGCTCACAGTGTTGCTTGCATGGAGGATCTCCAAGGAATTGGCATTCATTGTCTGCCTGAATGTGACACATCTGCACTGTTTTTCAAAGATTGTGCACTGTACTGCTGTAGAAGGACTGTGGACCTACAGTGTGAAAGCACTTGGGTTGCTGTGATTGTGAATGATCCCATGTGTTGTGGCAGTGATCTGAAATAATTAATTGAGCCACAGACTGGCTTACTTGAGTTTCCTGCAGGTTTGAATTTCCTCTGGTTCTAGATGGGAATATAGTCATTCTGCATGTCTTGCTCGACCTGTCAGGCTGTATTACTGTAGGCTGGAAAAGGATTGTCCTAAACTGCAGGTAGCTGTTGCCTCAGTGGACTTGGTAAAGCAGTGCCATGTGGCTGCTTCACAGGGGCTATCCAGGAGGGTGGAAAAAAGTTACACTGTTCAGCATAGTTGTGAATCCCAGGACATTTGTGTTCAGCTTGTGGTTTTGACATTGCCCTTTTATGTGTTCCCTGGAAAAATAATTCAATCGTAGTGCACCACTGACTTGTCTGCAAAATGAAGATGTTTTCCCTAACTTGTGGAGCTAAATCCATTCATTTTTGTGGCAAACCTAGTTGCTACATGGATAGCAAGTACTGAAAAATGCTATAAATAACCAGTCAATACAGAATGTGATTGGCACAGACGTCACTGGAAAATGTGGCCTGAAGAGTTCCCTGGTTTGTTCACAGTACATTTATTCTCTGCTGGTTTTGGCATAAATGCCCTTTCTTTTTTGCACGTGTTCTGAAATGACCGTGTTCTGCATGGTTGCCAGCCTGCAGAACACCCACGTAGTGAACAGCTCTCAAATGGATGCCAGATAGGAAGGGGGGTGCAAATGATCTTGCAGGACCCTAATCTTTATTTTCCATCATTTCCCATCTTCCTGTGTTGGACATATGGCCCTGATCTGCCTAACTGCTCTTCAGTTCTCCCACTGTAAGCTATGACTCTATGGTTTCTATAGGGAAGGTGAGAATTTTTAAGTTGTCTTAACTAAGCTGGGGATTTTGTGAACACAAGTACACTTGATACCTGTAAATATAGATATGGGATTTTACTGTGTTAGTAAGCATCAGAGCTTTAACTAACAAAATTAAGAATGGAGTGCAGCATTGATGAAACATTCCTATAGCCGATACCAGCCTATCTTGCAAACAGGAGAGAGAAATGTCCGAAGATTTCTGAAGTCTGTGGTACCAGTTACCTCCAAAAATTTATTTTGTGATCCATGTTTAAGGGTCTCAGCATCTTTGTTGTGGAAGTGTTGGTGGGATCTTCCCACCTTTCTTCTGCTGCAGGCTGTGTAAAGCTTGACTGTGGGAGCTGTTCCCTCAGAGTACAAGGACTAGAGTAACAGCATGTCCTGTGCTGTAACAGAGCATGTATTGATTTTCTGCTGAGTAACAAGAACTAATGATGGGCATTGTGTATTATTCATGTTTCATCAAGTTCATTTTTAAGCTGTGTAGAGCAGCTGGGAGAAGGGTTAACTAGGGACATGAGACTGCAGAACAGTTCTACAGTCAAACCAGTGTTAGATCTGGTGACAGGACTTCCTGAAATACGTTCTCTATCCTTTTTTGGGGGGAAACTATCTCAATTTCTGGACCCTTTTTAACCCACGCATGCTTTCCTCTGACATAGCTAGAAGTTCAAAGTGGAATGGCAGAGTAAACTGTGCCTCAAGTTGCTCTCATACTCCCAATGCAAATTAGCAAGTGGGGAGATGTTTTTATAAAATTATCAGGATAGTATGAGGTCAGGTGCAAAGTTTTAACCATTTGAGGTAATTGTCCCACAACAGCTGGTATTTATGGATAGAAATGACCAACTGTATGCTGCCTGGGAGAGGAGTCTTAAATCTGGCAACAGAAAGAGCAGCTGACAGATTACTAGGGCAACAAAACAATCTAGTGTTAGCCTGGGGTTACAGTGCAATTCAGAATGGTGTAATGCAAAGTGTAAGAAGCCACAGGGATTAATCTCTGAAAATGTCTGAAGGAATATTGATGACTTAAGTGCTCCTGCAGTCTCACCTTTTAGGAAACTGAAGTTTTTAATTAATGTCCTATGGCAAATGGTCTGCCTAGTTTTATTCCCTAGTCTTTGCAGCACTATGATGTGCTCAAGTTTCTCTGTAGTCAGAGATAATTCCCTGATCTAGTAAGGTTTTCAGAGTCAAGGAAGGAAGTGGTAAAAAGGTTCAGAAGTTAGGAGGTGAAAAGTGTTGTCTTTTGATAGGTATAGCAAGGGTTGCTACCAACTGGTTGGAGAATAGATTTTCTTTGTAGAAACTTGGTGACTTTTGAGGACTTTTATTTTACTTCAGAATGGATTTGATCAACAGTAAGAAAAGGAAGATAGAAACATGAACAAGAAATTTTGTATGGATTACCTGGTACCTCTTAGGCTAACATGCTAATCTTTGGTGCAGGAAACCCAAGCTTGTTTCACTGGATTTGTGAACTGTGTAGTGGTCAAGTGCTCTCGGTGACTACTGTTTTCGTGTGGGGGTTGTTTTGGTTGGTTGTTTGGTTGGGTTTTTTTTTTTTTGGGGGGGGGGAATATTTTTTTGTTTCATTTTTACTGTGAAATCATTCTTTAGTAATGCTCTTGTCCAAAGAAAATGTACCCTTTTCTATCTCAAGAAATTGGTATGTTATGGTTGAAAGCAACCTGAGAAATTCCTGACCAAAACTCATGGTACATATCTTGGTGTCTTCTTGTCACTGATGACAGCGAGTTCATGTTTCTTGCCATAGTACTTTTTGCCAAGGGGAATAATGACAGCTCTTAGCTGAGACTTTCTGTGAGAATAAGAGTGCAGTTTTGTAATAAGTCTAATTTTATTTACACTGGAAGCTGCTGCTGGAGGGTTTGATCTTGCTTTCTTCCTTTCCTCTTGGATTTTTCCAAATATCAAATCATATCTCTCACTTCAGCTCTTATGACTCTAAAAAGTTTTTAGATCAGCTGGACTTCAGATCGATCCAACTAAGCCTGAGGAAAAAATGGTTGCTTTTTGTGTTCCAGTTGAGTTATACCACAGACCCTCTTTTTAGGGAGGCAGTTCAGTCGTCTTCATAATTGTTATCTTGGTCTTTTTTGCAGACTCAGAGCAAGAATGATTGCCTATACTTGATTCACAGGTAGAAGGTTACTTTCAAAACTTCACAAGTCAGATTTCTATGGCATGCTCTTCAGTTAATGCCATTTATAAAGATAACAATATAAAGACTGAGCTCAATATAGGCAACTTGCCCTACAAAAAGGATTTGCATTTAGTACAGACTCTTTTAAAGATGGACCAGTGGTTGCATTATGCCATAAGTTAGGCTGGGGCAAAGTAAAATGCCTCATCCAGGAACTTTCTGCAGGGTTAATGTAGAAGCTACTTCACTGCCTAGGTTGTGCTAAATAACAAGAAGGAAATCAAGAAAGGCAGAATCAGAAGACAGGAGTCCTAACTCTTACAGGGATAGTAATTGTTGT